CCCCCGTGGAGCGGTAGCAGCTTGAGTCTCCAGGCTTCCCTGAGCATCGCCATCTCTGATCCTCTGGCTCATTTTAAAAAAGACCCACCAGCCAGCCTGTTCTCGCACGGCCCCCCGCAGTGTGGTGCAGAGAGAGCCTGTCAGTGGTTCTCAAGGGAGGGCGCAGCCTGGAGGTCCTGTTAAAACCCCCGCAGCTGGGCCACACCCCCGAGTTTCTGACTCAGTGAGTCAAGAATCGGCACTTCTGTGAAATGCCCAGGTGATGCCGATGCGGCGGGTCCCGGGCCCACACTCTGAAAACCGCTGGTCTGGGGGAGTTGGGTGCAGAGACTTGGAGGCTAAGCTGCTGGGTTCCCAGCTCTGTTACCTTCTAGCTGTGCCACTCAGGGCCACAGTGCCTCATCTGTAGGATCAGGATAATAAACGTCTCTACCTCATGGGTGAGCCTAGAGAGGGCCGAATGTGTTAACACTTGCAAACTGTGTGCCTGGTGCGTAGCAAGTGCTCGATAAAATTTGATGTTATTAGCATAGCAAAAAATAAAAATAAAAAAGCACCACTTCCAGGTTTCAGTGCAGACTTTCACACCAGCCAGCCACGTGATTTCAAGGACATCACCTCGCCTCAGTTTCCCATCTGTACCAAAAGGGGAATGAGAAGCCACTTTGCACTGCACACAGGGTGTTCTGAGGATCAAGTGGAATCCGAGAGAGTGCACTTTCTAAATGATAAGCCCTGTGCCGACGCCCGAGGCTAGAGGTTGTGGGACAACGTGAACGTGAAGTCGGAGAGACCTGGCCTGAAGTACCAGGGGGAACAGGCAAGCCTCTGCCTCCCTGAGGCTTGTTTCCCCGTCTCTGAAATGAGGGAGATAATGGCGAGAGCCCCAGCATAGCTGGGAGATGTCCTGAGAAGCCCTCGCCCGAGGCCTGCTTCTCACTCATCTTCAGTGAGTACCAGGGTCTGAGGGTTTCAGATCAGGCTCAGTGCTGGCACTGGGTCCTTGCCTAGCCCCTGGCCACGGGGCAGCAGCTTAATCTGAGACTCCTCTAGCCTGAAGCCTGGGCTGACTCACATACCAGCCAGCCCCTCGTGTAGACCCCAGCAGCCCAGCTCATGGGGCCCTGGTGGGAATGGAACAAGAGAAAGGGGGAGGCGTCCTGCCCCGGAGCCCATGCCAGGCAGGCCCTCAGCAAACACTCCCCTCCTGACAGAGATCCTGTCAGCCCCTCCCAGGCTGCCTGCAAACATCTTGCCTCTGGGAGCCATGAATTCTGGAAGCAAATTCCTTGCAGCGTAAGAGGTTTCACAGCAACTTTATTCTCCAGGAGAGAGGTAGAACAGCCCTTCCCTTCTCCAGGAGGGGAGGGAACAGTCAGAGGCCTGTTTAATTTAATTTAACGCACCGTGGCTTGCCAGGTTGCCCCTGGTAACAGCTTCAGCTGCTGCTTCAGTTACAACCAGAAGGATTTTTAAAGAGACAGCCCATTTTAGGGCCAGAATTGCACAGCAGAGGGAACAGCATCCGCCAGCTTCATCTCAGGGAGAGAAGATTACACCTTAGGGCACAGGAAGGCTTCAGACTAGATCCATTTATACAAGTAACTCCATTCTGAATCTGCAATCCCATAAGCCCTTCTGCAAATATAACTCTTAAGTGGGAATCTAATAAAGGACTGTGATTGGGATTTGTCATACAGATGTCACTTGTCTAGCTACTCTTCTGAAAATCAGTTTCAATCTTCAAGTTGAAGGGGAAGGCAAGTGATCTCTTAATAGCTGTCCCTGCAATTCAGATATACTGCCACCAGGTGGTAGTATTGCTTGCTTAGTTCAAACTCATAACCAGGCTGTTGAATTACTCAAGAATATGAGTGATGGAGAAACCACTGGATTTTAAGACTTGATACTAACCGCTGTGTGACCATTGGTAAGTTGCTTCATCTCTGTGGTCTCAAGTGTCCTCAGAGATATAATAAGAAGATTGATCAAAATAATTGAGGGTTGTGGACGAGGCTTGAGTCTAGGACTATGGAGGCATGAGTTTAAGTCCCAGCTCTGTCGTGTACTGTGTGGCTAGGCACACAGTTTAGTTCCTCGCAACCTGAATACCAAACAAGAGAGTGGCTGTGAACCAGGGAGAGCCCTGAGGACACCACCTCCGTCACTCTCCAATACTGGGGAACTGTAGAAGTGAGGAAGGTGCCTGGGGCCTCAGGGGATCCCTCACCCAGGAGCACAGCAGGGTGTGGAGAGTGGAGTGAGGCGGCTGCCTCTGGACTGCAGGGCCTGAGGCCTCGTTGCTCCTTAGGGAACTGAAACAGGCCACAGTACACAATGCAGCCTCCTAGACACCCCCAACTCCATTCAGCTTTAACTGAAACAGGGAGAAAGGGGGCACACATTAATGGAGCAAGTACTCCAGGCTAGGACTGCTTCACAATGCCCGAGGCCGGTTTTATCATCTGCCTGCCCGAGGGGTAGCTCACCGGCCCAGTGCTGGCCACCCGGCCTCTGCTCTTCGTATTACAGCCCCCACATCTACTATACCTGCTCTGACCTGTGGCTACACCTCCTCGTTAGGAGTCTGAGAGGGGGAGCGGGTCCTGTCTCTCCCTACCATGACTCAGTTTGGCCAGCCTCAAAGTGAGCATAAGGTCCAGAGGTCATGAGATCCCACTGACTAGTAGCCAGGGAGCCTGAGACACACCTGCCTTCAATCTTCCCATGGTCAGGTGCCGATATTATGTCCAGGTCTTCAGCCAGCTTGGCCCACAGTAGTTGCCCGTGAATCCGAGTTCCTTCTCACAGCCCAGGTCCTGTGTAGGTGCAGCAGGTAAGGTTACCCAGCAGCCTACCTGAGACTTTCCACCTGGCCAGTGTTCTTCACTGAGCTCTCAAGGGTGCCTTTTAACACTTGGGACCCGCTGCTCTTCCCTCCAGACAGCCCTGTCCTAACTACAGCCCCATACACATATTCCCTCCTAGGTAACAAGATTCCTCTCCAAGTGATGTGAATGTAAAGACACATTGGATTTTGGGACCCCCCCAGCTCTAACCCCTTCTATGGCTCCCTACTGCCCTGCAGATGAGCTCCAGGTTCTAAGCCTGGCACTTAAGTGCTCCTCCTGGTGTACCCCTGCTGACTCCCTCCACCCTCACAGATGGGGTTCCAGCCACTTGGGGCAGCCTGTAGTCCCCCACGCCATGCTCACTCACTCATTTCTGAGCTTTTGCACACAAGGTTCCCCCTATCTGGAATGCCTTCTCTAGCCATATTCACTGGGGTGCTCCTAACTTGTCCTTGAGAACCTGCTCCAGCTCGTCCTCCTCTGGAAGCCCTGGGGGTACCCCTCGGTCGTGTAGGATGCCTCCTCCCCTGCCCCTGGGGTTCCTTTACTCTGTGTCTTCAGTTCTGACTTTCCCACCAGAGCAGGAGCTCCTAAATGCAGGACCTGCCTCTTCCCTCTCCTATCCCCATTACCCAGCCTGGGCCACACAGGAAGGTATTGGGGAACAGTGGCTGAGAAATGCCGTTAGTGGGGCCTCCTGTTGGTGGTCTGGCGGGTTCACTCAGTGGGGTCTGACTCACAGTCCTCCTTCCACTCTTCCTCCCTCCATGCTCACCCATGGCCTCCCCAGAACAGCTGCAGCGTCATTTGCAAGCTTGAGCTCCCAGCACACATCTACACACACCATGCTCCCCGCTCACAGGCTGCCTGCACATCCCCATGCTGAGCCCTCCATCTGGAATGCCCTTGTCCCCACCCACCCTCTGAAGCACCTCTGCTATTCAAGACCCGCATCACAGCCCATCCTCTGCGGGACTTTCTCAGAATCTTCTGGCTGGGATGGCCTCTCCAGCCTGCCGTATTTGTCTGCATCCCTCTCAGGGCCCGCACCAAACCCTGCCTTGTACTGCCGTTATTGGCAACCTGGGGTGGTGAGGGTGGCATGGGCTTAGGAGCCTGACAAAGCGAGTCGGAATCCCAGCTCTGACACCCACACCCTATGTGAACTTGAGCAAGTCACTTTACCTCTCTGAGCCTTAACATGTTTCTCTGTGAAATGGGATGATGCCCACCTCATAGGTGTTGTGAGATTGAGGTGGTTGATATGAGGATCCTGACATGGGCAGGCTCTCAGTCAAGCCCAGTTGTTTAGGCCTGGGTCTGCTTCCCCAGCCACGCGTGAGCCCCTGTGGGCCGGGGTGCAGCTCCCACTTGGTTCCGTATTCCCAGAGTAGCCAACACACACCACAGATTACCAGAGATGCTGGCTGGGCTGAATGTATTTGCCCTGCCTGCTGGGAGTGGGGGTGGAGGGATGAGGGGGTCCTGATCTGAGGACGCCATAGTGCGGAGCGGGGTGAGTGCAGAATGGAGTCCGGAGACCAAGCACAGGAGATGAATGCAGAGGGAGGGGCCGGAGCCTGAGGCGGAGCTGCTGATATGCACTGGGGGTTTTATTGGTTTTCATTAACATTCCTTCCCGAGGCAGGAACAGCTACTCCCATAAATAACAGCATAAATATTTTATCTGGTGCCCAAGTCAGTCTAAATGCACAGCAAGGTTGGCAAGAATAACAATGGGAGACAGTTCAGGGGGGTCCTGGGCTTCAGCTGAACTCACTCGGCATACCCAAAGGAGCTTTCTCAGGAAGGTGGGAGCTGAGGGGCAGCGGGGGAGAGAAGGTGACCAGTGGAGTGTGGGCCCCAAGGTGGGGGCATGCGGCACAAAGGTGGGGAACCAGGGGAGGGGCCCCAGGAGGGAGTGTATCCCACACTGGCTTTGTGATGGGCTCCCCGTGTAGGGCCTTCTCACACGTTACCCATTATGTCCTCTGTGGTCAGACAAATGAAGTGACTTGTCCAAGGTCATCTGGCCAGTCAATGGCAGAGCCAGGAGACTTCTCGGGGTTCAGAGAAAGTATGCGAATCTATGAACGATAGTCTGAGTACCTCAATAACAGCAGCACGGGCCATTCTCTGCTTCCCTAGATCCCCATGGAGGAGAAAAGGGGCTGGTACTTCACCATGGCAACACTTTTCATCAGGTCAGGCTGGGAAGGGGGGCACGGGATGGGGGGAGGTGAGGCCTGGAACCCAGGGGACAGGCAGCTGAGCCCATCTCCATGGCAAGGGCTCCCCGGGTTCCCCTCCCTGCCATTGACCAGGGAAAGGGAGGGCTCACAGCACGCTGGGGACAGCTGGGGGAGGGGATACTGATCAGCTGTGTCCCTTCCTCACCACAGGCTAGATGGCATCTTCCTGGAGCTGGGCAGCGAGGAGCAGAAGAGGCTGCCCACCTTCAACCGCACACTGGCCTTGCTGCGGCAAGTCCTCAAGTCCCCGGACCCCCACCACCGAGGTAGGGCCCTGGGGGAGGGGGAGAGCAGCCTCTGCCTGGCTCTCCCCGCACCTGCCTCTGTCTCTGGCCCCACTTCCAGCACTGCCTCCCTGTGTGGGACCCTGTTTCTCTCCCTCACCCTCTGTCTCACGTTCACTTGTCCATCTCAAGAGCTCACTCACCTTGCACAGGTGAATACATCAATCACAAATCACTACAACTGCATGTTTCCAGACGGGTATCTCAAGACCTAGCATGCGAGAGACAGAGCTTCCGTCTCAGCCTCTCACCCCCACCTTCTGGCTGGGAATGAAGGCCCCGCTGGCCAGGGGTTCGGTCCTGTCTCGCAGGGCCCCACAGCTAGAACAGGGACGAGAACCTCAGAGCCAGTGAAGCGCTGGAGCCAGAGAAGCTGTGCACCTTCCAAGAGGTGACCTAAGTGACACAGTAAACACAGGTTGAGCGCGGTGGCGTGTTCACCCGCTCACTCACACGCCTCCTCTCCCCTCCTTCGTTTCTCTCGGTTGGTCCTTAAGTGGCCCTCTGTGATTTCACACCACTGACCCGCCCTTTGTCTTCCCGGGAGCTGACCCCTTGGTGCGGCTGGCCCCCCACTCCTCGTGGCTTCTCCTCCCCTTTCCTCCCTGCTCCGCCTAGAGACCCCTCTCCCACCCTTCCCCCCAGCTCTGGCCTGGTGCTACCTCGGAATGCTGCTGGAGAGGAAGGACTCCTTCTCCACCACGCCCATGGGCATCCACGACTGTGGGTTCTCGGGGACCGACCCCCTGGACTGCTTTGGCAAGGTATGTGCCCACTGCCCCACCCTCCTCTTCGGGAGCCCTCCGCTCCTCTGGGTGTCATCCCCCCTTCCACTCCCACGGCGTGCCCACCCAGGAGATGCCCTCTCTCCAGACCTTCCTGTCCATCCCAGACGGAACAAAAGTTCTCCCTTGTCATCAATCCCCTTTGCCCAAGAATCAGGCCCTCCCCACACCCAGCGTGGCCCACACCTGAGTCTCCAGACTGGTCTCCTACTTTGCTCCCCGTGTCCCACGTGTGCCCTCAGGCCTCGGTTCACACGTCCCTCCCCTCCTGCAGTGGCCCCGTGGAAAGGGGAGGGGTTTAGCCAGGGTCTCCAGCCAGCTGTGCCCCAGGCCAGGGGACTCTAAGACAAGTCACTTCCATCCCATCCCTGAGCCTCCTTGCCTGTAAATTATATGATCCATCCACCTTCTAGATGATGGAGAGACTCAAAGGAGTTAGTGGACAAGACTGCTCATTGTAAACTGTAAAGTGCCATTCAAGTCTTGTGTGTGGCACCGTGTTTATGCGGCATTTTCCACACTCAGCACAGTTCTGAGTCTCCCCTGGAGGCCAGGGGCCCTGGGATGTTCATTCACCTGTGCAGTCAGCACAGAGCCCTGCAAGGGCACATTCCCCGTGTTTGCTGGTGGGTGATGAGCAGTTTCTTGAGAGACCTTAGAAAAGAGCAGAGCATTAACACTGGCGCATGCATGTTGTGAGAGCTGTGTCCAACTTAAAAAAAAACACACACACTGCTTCCCCTTCCTTGAGAACCTAGTCTGTGCTGGGGCAAAGAGACGGACAGACAGGGCCCCTGCCCTGTGGGAGTTCACCATCTCAGGGGCAGCAAAGAACGCAGCCCAGGTAGCTAGCAGTACAGACACAGGGGCAAGTGTGGGGGCCTGGACAGAAACACTGCACTAGGTACAGGGAGGCAGAGGCTGACTCTGGCCCCTCCTCCCACTCACCTTGGGGAGGTGGAGGGGGACACACTGGACGTGTCTGAGGAAGAGGATTTGTCCGGAACCTGGAGGGATTCACTGGACAGGACGAGTGAACGTGGTGGAGACTGTGGCAGGGGGGTCGAGCTATCGAGACTTGCTTGCCAATGAGCTGCACCCCAAAGTGCTGGCCTCCATGCAGAGACGACTTACTGGCGGGCGGCTCATCCAGCAATGGGGCTCCTGAAGGTCCCTGTTTAGCCATTTCTGGCAGGCAGACTAATTGTGTGTTGTCGCCCTCCGCCCGTACCCAGGCCATCGAGATTGCCAAGGACCAACCCCCAATTCTGAATCGCCTGGCCAAGATCTTCCACTTCCTAGGAAAACAGGACATGGCCATTGGCACCTGCAACATGGCCCTGGACGTCCTGGATCCAGAGCTCAACTGGCAGGCGTATTGCACGAGGGCCAAGGTGAGTCACCCTTTAAGTCCATCTCCTCCTGCCATCAGGAAGCAGAGAACAAGGACCACAGGCCAGGACTCTATTGCCAGAACCCAAAGATATTGGAGCCTTCATGGCAGAAAGGAGCTTAGGAGCCATGGAAGTGCACGGGTTCTGTTCTGTACGTTGCTGAGTGAAAGAATAAAGGACCCTCCTATCCACTGCAGTGTCCCTTCTACAATGGCCTACCTGGTCTGGGACCTGCAGCCTCTTCTTGATTAGTACCCAGTGTAGTCAGACTGACCTGGGTTGAAATCTGACCTCTCTGCATATGACTCTGGGGCTGAGGGCAAATCACTTACCCCTCCAAACCTCCAAATCTGGAAGATATGAATAATAACACCTGTCTTAAAAGGCTGTCAGAAGCCCTGGCTGGAGTAGCTCAGTGGATTGAGCGCGGGCTGCAAACCAAAGCATCACAGGTTCGATTCCCAGTCAGGGTGCATGCCTGGGCGGCAGGCCACGGCCCCCAGCAACCGCACATTGGTGTTTCTCTCTCTCTCTCTCCCTCTCTCTCTCTCTCTCTCCCCCCCTTCCCTCTCTAAATAAATAAATAAATAAAAATCTTTTTTTAAAAAAGGCTATCAGAAGACAGCTAGTCTAAGAGAAGTAACATGGCATGCATCATGCCTGGAGCATGAGCGGTGCTTGAGAAGGGCAGTAGGGGATGTCAGTAGGGGATGTCAGGGGCAGCCTAAGGTAGCAGTCAGTCAGAGCTCTGGCTCTGGACACACTAGTCTTGGTTCAGGTTCCACAGCAGCACCTAACATAATACAGGACTATAGACATATAGTCTGGCCCAAATTCTGAGCCTCACACAGATGATCATACCTACCTCAGAGAGCTGTTGTGAGAATTAAATTAGATTCTTTGTAAAACTCAGCACTGAGCAAGCATAGGAAGAGCTCATAAGCAAAGGGTTGTTGTTACTAGATGTATTTATAACTGATTTCCTATCTCGTGAAGCAGTCCACCATGTAGTCATTCAGCTCTACAAGTTATAAATTTAGTTGAGAGCTATCTCCCTCTGCCTGCCCCCACCGGTCCCAGATCTGCCCTCTGGACCCCCACGTAGCCCTTCTGCTTGGGGACAGAGGCCTGGAGCTCTGACTTGCTTTACTCCAGGCTAAAGAACCCCTCCTATCTTCTCTACTACCTTCCTCAGGACATGACTTCGAATCTGCTCCTTTGTTCTCGGTCTCAATGACATAATCATTCTGCCAGCCGGTGGTGGGCGGGATATTCATTCATTGTAGTTGATGTGGTTACTATCAACAGTAATGATATTAATCATGATAGTAAATAATGAAACACCTCTGTAACAATGCATTTCACCCAGCACTTTCACATTCATGGACTGATTTAAAAATATCCTCACCCCCTCGTCAGCGTGTGTCCTGCTCACTGGCTCCCTGTACCTCCAGAGGTCGCACACTACTCAGACGACCAAACTAGCACCAGGATGGGGGCTGGGATGGTGAGGTGGAAGGAACAGAGGGAAGGGAACTCATTGTCTGTGGGAAAGCCTCAGTCCCGACCAATGAGGCTGCGACCCGCAGGGCCCTCCCTGGCTCATTACGTCCCTCTGCCTACACCTTGCTCAGCAGCCTCTCTTCCGGTCACACTGGTCTCCATGCTGTTCCTGAGGCAGGGTCTTCCCTCAGGACTTCTGCCTAGAATGCTCTTCTTCCAGAGGTCCGATTGGCTTCCAACCTCACCTCCTGGAAGTCTTGATAAAGAGGCAGCTTCTAGCACTGTCTTACTGAAAATGTCAACTTCTCAACATTTAAAACAACTTTTTTTAACCTCATCTGAGGACCATTGATTTTAGAGAGGGGGGAAAGGAGGGAGAGAGAGAGCAAGAGAAACACCCGGGTGAGAGAGAAACATTGATCGCTTGCCTCTCATACAGGCCCCGACTGGGACGAAATCCGCAACCTAGGCATGTGTCTTAACCAGAATCAGACCCACCACTTTTCTGTTTTACGGGGCCGCGCTCCATCCAACTGATCCACACCAGCCAGGGCAACCTCTCAGCGCTTATCACTCCCCAGCATACTATTTGCTCATTTATTATATATTTTATCTCTCCCCACCACTAAAATATAAGCTCCGTGAGGGCAGGGAATTTTGTCATTTTGCTCTCTCGTATACCCTCAGTTCCTGGAACAGTACCTGGCACACAGCAGGCTCTTGATGAATATTTATTGAATGAATGAGTGAACTCAGCACCTACCATATGCTAGGTCCTGGCTGGAACATGTCCTCTCAGTCATCATGGTAACTTCCCAAGGAAGATAACAGGGTACTAATTTTTCACATGTGGAAAACGAGCAACTTTCCCCAGCTCACATGCTAATAAGGGGGAGGGGCTGCAATTCAGTCAAGGTCAACTGGCAACAAAACCAGAGCTCCCCAACTCCCCACCTCTTTTCCTCCACCCCCCACCTTGTGATGCTCTCTTAGGACCAGAGCCCTCCCTGTGGGCTATGAGGCTTTAATACTTTCAAAAACAATGGACCTTCTTTTCCTTATTTCCTCCTCTTCACCCCTACCTCACCCCTCCTGAATCTCTAGATTTTATAAATGCTCCAAGGGGGGGGTGCGGGAAGGAAGTAGAGATGAAATCAAGGGCCTGGAATCATTTGTAATTTGATGTCTGTACTTTGGGGCCACCTGCCATTCTTCCCAAATTGCTTGCTTACATGGACACATGGATTGCTTCACAAAATCGATACTGCCATCCTATCTAAAATAACCCTCTCCCCAGGCACCTCAATCCCATCACCCTGCTTATTTTTTCACAGCGCTTATCACCACTTGAAATGGTATCGTTTACTTGTTCATGATCTTTTTCCTACTAGAACGTTAAGTTCCGCCAGCACAGGGACCTCACCTGCCTTATCACCACTGCACCCGCAGACCTAGCACAGGACCTGGCAAATGGCAGGCATTCAGTACATATTTGTTGAGTGAATGAAGGGCTCTTACTTCATCCAACCCACTCATCGTACAGACAGGGAAACTAAGACCCAGAGAGGGGAGCAGCTAGCCCAACTTGGCACACGACTAGAACCTAGGACTCCTGGGCCCCAGTCTCAAGGGTTTTCTGCCACACCACAGAACCCCCCTGGACCGCTATTGAGAAAAGATTGTCTTCGTTTAGGGTGGATGCTCCTTGCTTGGAGCATCTTCCCTGAGCTGACTTTCTGCGGACAGATCCACATCAGAGCCTACCTCCATGACCTGGAGCGGGTCAAGATGGGGCTCGGAGGCATGCCTGACAGGAACCACCTGGCCTGCGCCAAGGCGGACCTCGAGGAAGTGGTCAAGGTGTGCCCGGGTCTCAGGACCTACCTGGACATCAGCCAGGTAAGGCAGTCTCCAGGCTTGCATAGCCAATGGCTTACTAAGAACATATTTACTTCCTGTCAGGCCAGGTCTGGGAACTCAGGGCACAGGGAGGAATAAGAGGCATCTTCCTACCTGATAACAGTACCTACCTCCTACAGGTGAGGATTAAATGAGAGAATGCATGTACATCGTTTAGGACAGGGCCTTGCTCTTTCTAAGCACTCAGAAAGTGTGGACCATTATTATTCTTTACCCAGAAGTGCCTTCTGTGCATAGGGAATGATTACCAAAAGGTGATAAGATCATATTTTACGTATGAGAAATCTGAGGCCCAGAAATCGCCTTGCTCATGGTTATGTGGCCAGGAGTGGGAGGGCTGGAACTGGAATCAGAGTGCTCTCTCCTTTCCTGGGGAAGGGGGACCAAACTTTGCAGGGAATAACTGTGGAAAGAGGGAAGGCTGGAATTCCGGGAGCAGCCATGGCGGGGTGGGAGGCTTGAAAAGCTCACCCCTGCCCCCCCCCCCATTCCAGGTCTACTACTACATGGGCGTGGACGCAATGCAGGAGCTGCTGGCAGTGGATGAGGAGGCACTGAACCAGGCACTGGTCTTCTTGGCCAAGGCCGGTGAGTCAGAGCTGGGCACCACGCTGCCCGAGCTGCAGCTGCTGCGAGGCAAGTGCCTGCGCATCAAGGGTGAGGAGGCCAACGCGGCAGCGTGCTTCAAACGCGTGGTGGAGCTGGACGACGAGGGCTCCAGCCACACCGAGGGCTTCGGCTGCCTGCTCGAGGCGCTGCTGGCGCAATGGAGCCAGGCGCAGCTGAGCGATGGTGAGCTGGGCCGCGAAGTGGATGTGTGGCTGCGCTGCGCCCAGAACAAGTATCAGGCGGCACGCCTGCGCCAGGAGCTGCAGCGTGTGTGGCGTGGCCACACAGACGAGGTGCTGGGACTGGCCCGGGCCTTGGTGGACCAGGGACGGCTGTCGTTGGTGCGGCTGCTGTTTGAGACCATGGAACAGGAAGGTGAGGGCATGGGGGCACCCCGGGGCCGCAGAGCGTTCTCCTTCTGAGGGTACCCGTCCAGGCCCCGCCCCATTGAGGGCCCGTCAATCAGAGCCAATCAGATTCTCTTTCAGGAATTGGACTGGGGACCTTGAGACAATAGGGCAGTTTGACATACCCGCGGAAGTGGGGATGCCTGGTTGGGGAAACTGCCAATTACAGGACAGAATTGGGCAAATGTACAGAGAAAATAAGATGGCTACGATTCTCCTAAGAGATACATAAGATAGCCGTCTCAGTTTGGGCGGTTTTCTAGTTTGCGGTGCAATCCCTGAGGCCTCAGTCTCTGTGGGTTCCCATGGGCAACTCTATCCCTGTAACAAAGCCCTTACTTAAGTTGACTGCAGTGGGTCTCACAGGCCCTTCAGGCCAGAAAGCCATGGCTAGAGCGGAGGGCAAAGCTGCACAGCGGACAGGTAAGGTGCCAGGCAGTGGTCTACACCGGCGTGCTCAGGCCTCTTTCCTACCTGGCTAGCCGTCTTCCAGCGGGCCTCGTCCGTGCTCAGCGTGGCCTGCAAGGCTCCCAGGCAAGGCATGAAGCCCATCAATAGACTTCCCTGTCTGGGAACCTAGAGACCCCCCCATCAGGGAATGCCACCTATTCCCAGTCTGGAACCTTCCACAACAGAATGAAGAATATCTTGAAATGTTACTCTCTTGGAATCTTAGACTTAGAGCCTTAACTGTGGGATTTTATTGTCAAAGACTTAGACTCTGACTGCCACCAAATCTTGGAATGGCCAACCTGGATTTTTGTGGCCCTGCTTCAGGAACTACTTAACGTAAAATTCCAGGTTAAGTTCTCGCCAGACCCCAGGAAAGCTAGTTGCACATAACTTCGATGGCAAGACCTCTGTAATGGTTTGTGATAGGTTTTGCATTTGTTCCTTTCTTTAAAGAGTTATACTCACTGCTTTTGTCGTATCTCTGATCCTCAGATAGTGACCAGAGATAGGCTAGCACCCCTGCGTGGCTTCTCACGTCTCCAGTGACAGATGGAGAACAGGCTGAGAGGTGCGGCCCCGAAAGGCCGCATGTTCCAAAGCTCTCATTGTGCAGATGGGAGGCCTGAACCCTCGCGCGGAAATGGCTTGCCCAAGGTCACACTCCACACTTCTTAAGCCTCCCCTCCTTTGTGCCTCACTCAGTCCTGCTGTCAGCATTTTTCAGGTTTGGAAAAATTCTAATACACTGATGAACACCAAAGCATTAAGTGCTTATGTGTCACCTGTCACATGGGGCACTGATATCCATGAGGGTAAAGCTCTAACACTCATGTTAGTGTCCCAGGTACCTGTGAGATCTGGACCATGAAGCTACCCTAAGGTCCCTAAATTCCGCCTCATGGCTCCTCATGGCTCAGCACTTTGGGCAGTGACACGCTGTCCCACCTTCCTCTCACCTCCGAGGTTGCAGAGTCCAGGAGGTGACCCGACAGCACACACAGCCCTGTCTACTCCTCCATGCATCCCTTCCCCACCCACAATGGGAAATCACCTCTTTCTTCTCCTGCTTCCTCAGGCAAACTGAATTCAAGGCGGTTTGCTGGCACAACTAGGGAGCTGGTGAAGTTCGTCTGCTTCTCCAGGCTTCCCAATTTGTTTCCTTTCTTGCTTTACCTCTCCCCAAGGTAATGCATTTCTCCCTCCATTGCTTCCTCCTCCTGGCAAACCTTTTCTGACAACCTCAGGCACACGACTCATATAAATGACTAATAAACACCCACTAGTCTTGGGGTATCTGCATATTGACCAAAAGCCAAAAAGAGATAGGAAACCCCATTTCCAGGACATACCCTATGTGCCGGGGGCTTCATACATGTGATTGTCTCAACAGCCTTGGGGAGTAGCATTCTCATCCTCGTTTTATAGATGAGGACACTGAGACACTGACCAAGGTCTCAGGTAAGTATGGGAAGAGCCAGGATTTGGACCAGACCAGCCCAGTTCTGTGCTGCCTCCTGGAACACAGTTCTTCCTGGGAGTCGTGTCATCTGTGGTCCAGAGTTTGGTCTGTGATCACCAACTTGAACTGTCCCTTCCTCCAGTGCACTGTCTCCCTGTTCCAAACTGTTTTTCCTCTGTGACTTTGTACATCCTATTCTGTTCCACACTGGCTTTTTCCCTATGATTTCCATCCCAAGGGCTAGGCTCAAAAATGCCTCCTCCAGAAAGCCTTACCAAATCCTCCTAGTTCACATTAATCACTCCCTTTTACGCATGGAGAGCTCTCAGGCCTCGTGTCCCACGGCATTACATTACTTCCCTCTCCTTGGGTCATAATCGTGTCAACATGTCTGCAGCCCACCCCTAACCCAGCTGGCTTCTTTACAGCAGGAGCTATACCCGATTCAGCCCCAGGGCCCTGCACTGAGCTCGGCACTGAGACAGGCTCAGTGTGGGTTATTGAAGTGAGTGCACTCACAGCAATGAGGCCACTACCTCAGTCGCACACAGGTGACTCTATCACCAGGCCCACCAGCCTGAGGTTGGGGCCAGGTCTCCAGCCCAACGATCCTTGAGGCCCAAAACTCAACCAGAAAACGTGGACTTTTTTCCCCTCCTCCTCTCCAGCCTTAGGCCATTTCTTTAATTCTCCAATTGGGAAACTGAAGGCCAGATTGGGAAACTGAGACGAGAGCAGGGGCTTGACCAAGATCAAGCAATGAACTGATGACAGATTCAAACTTGAACCCCACTTCCAGACTTCTGGGCCAGTGTCCTCTGCCCTTTTAGGGCTGCCTCCTTTGCCAAGGTCCAAGAGGACTACAGCCCTTCCATTCCTTCCCTCAGCTCGTACCTACCGAGCACTGGTGAAATTCCAAGCATAGTGCCAAGCCCTGGGGCTCCAGTGGAGAACCAGATAGACCTGCCCTTACCTTCAGGGAGCCGCAGGCTAGACCTTGCACATCAGCTTATGCCTGACCTTGTGGGCTGCAGGGGAGACTTGCGGAGACTAATGGGAAGCTGTGGAGGGTTTTAGCTGGCAGAGCCGGCTGCCCGCCCCCTCCACACCAGTCATTCACATCCTGTGTCTGGCCTTTCCTCAGCCCAATGCGGGGGAGAGGACGGCTGTCCCTGGGGCTCCAAACCTGGTCCTTGGCCATCCCTCTCCAGCAAGTCACTGCTGAGGCCAGACCTCGTGGTCCCCCAGGACTGTGGCTCGGGCGGGTTCAGGGAGGCTAGTGGATGGCTGATCTTTATTTAATTACAGTTTGGAGCCCTGCAGAACACCCCTGCCCACTGGGCAGCTGGGAGAACAACTGTCTGTCACACAGCTGAAGCAGCAGGAGATCCTTAGGGGAACACTGCAGAGTAAAAGCTTTAATGACCCCATAATCAGAGTAATGAAGACAAATCACACCTCGTGCTGTCTGCCCACGCCTTCCTCTGCATCTAGAAGCCAATATCAGGCAGCTAGAAACTCCTGTTCAGCCAGTGGGAGCAAGACATGTTAGAGGGAAGCAGGTGAGATTTTTCAGTCACAGTTTTCCAGAATTTCAGACTTGGAAAGAACCCTGGTCATCACCTCTTCCAGACTCTCCATCCAAAGCAGGACTCCTCTCAACAGTGATTATTCTGAAAGAAGGGTCTAAACCACTTGCATACCTCTGGCAGACAGGCAGCTTACTATCTGTCGAAGGAATCCATCCATTTCCCACTGGTCTATCTTTGAGTTTGTCCTTCTATTGAGTTGAAATCCTCTTTTCTGTAGTTTTTATCTTCTGATTCAAGTTCAGCTTCTGGGGCCACACAGAATGTACCCTAATAAGTGTGATAACCTTGAATGAGTTACTTTCCTCTGGACCCCATTCCCTCTTTCTGTCCTGGCACCTATTACAGTGTTTGAGTTGTTCAGAAGGTGGCTGGCTGCTCCGCCAAGGGCCAGACAGGGCTCTGATCCGGCTTCCAGCTGCCAGCGCCCAGTGCAGAGCCTGCACAGAGTGGTGCTAGCAGCTGGAAGCGGAACAGAACAGGGTTCTCCCATCCCTAATCAGCCCCCTAGGGAGCACCCTGTGTGGATGATGGTGGCTGGATGCCAAATGAAGTGAAATATCTCCTTTCCTCGGGCTGTTAACTTTTTTCGTGTTTAAGGAAAGGGAAGATAATGACATTTAGCACTTTACAACTCAGCAGTAAAATGAGCAGATGGAAACAGATCCCCAGCATGGCGGGCGTGCTTCCAGCAAGAAACCCTCCCTAGCTTTGTGGGGCTGAAGTCACTGGCAAGGCTTGCAGCTGGGTGAGGACACAGACAGCTCCCTCCTTCTCCCCAGCCCTGCCCCACAGTCCGTGTAGGCTCTACCTGCCCTCACTCCCTGCTTCCTGCCTGGAGCACCAGTACAAACTCTCTAATTTTGATGGGGGGTGGGGGGAGGATGCTTTTGTCAAGCAATGGTGAGCAAAACCTGTGGAGCTGCAGAAAAGCTTCAGCTGGCCTCTAGGTGGCCGCAAAAGAACAATTTGACTGAACAGGGAAGGTTCCTTCCTGCAGGGAAGTCAAAGAAAATCATATTCATCTTGATCACCGCCAGGACGACTTACTGAGACGCTGCCGCTGCCACAGGCCAGTGCCTGCGGCACGAGTTTCACATGCCTTTACTGCACTTAACCCTCGTAAGCCCATGAGCCATGTATCAGCACTGCTTCCCTCTTCCAGATGAGGAAACTAACAAATGGCTTTTTAACTATCTGGGGTTTTGATTACTTTCTCCTCTATCATATATGTTGCTGTATAGACTGATCACAAAAAAATCAGAATGTATTTTTCATGTTTATGTTTCCAAGCCCGGCAATAGCTCTGTGGTAGGGCTTGTTGAATGTTGGCATGTAAATTGTTTCATTAAACTGCAGCTCCTCTGTGAGTTTTATTTGTCATCTATAAAATAAAAGAAACAAACAAAAGAACCTCTGCATTTATGTTGGATATCAATTGTTTCATCTGCTCAGGGTCCATCCCTGCTGGGAATAGCACACCTCTCCTTCCTGGGCTAGGAATTACCTCTTCCTCCACTCTGCAGCCAAGAGGAGAGCTGCCAGTCACAATACCCCAGGCCCAGACCACAAGAGCTAACAACACATGACTCAAGTTGGGCTAATCAGAGTCCTTCCCAGAGTTTTCCAACCACGTGCAGGGACAGAAAATGCAAATGTTTGTCTATCTGCTGAAACAGCTATTAGTGGCAGTCTCAGTTAGGATTAGGATTAACCTTCATCAAAGACCTGAAAACAGTACCTTAAACTGGATTGCTGTTTACCCTGTGAGGGCAGCTCAGGTATCACTTTAGTGCCCGCCCATCTCCCCTCTCGCCTCACCTACTGGGTACCTGCTGAAGCCATTCAACTGCAAGCCCCTGCCACTCTCCACCAGACCTGAGGCACTGGGCAGCTGGTGCCCCCAAGAACAACCTTCAACTAATGGGGACCAGAAATTAGAAAATAGCCCAGCCTCATGGGGGCGGGGTAGGGGGGAGATCGGATCATTCAGAGACAAACTCCACATTCCCCCTGAGGTCCCACTGGGATTGAAACTGGTTGCCCTCAGCAGTCACCGGCTTGTTCATTATCACACCCTGTATGCACCCCTGCCCTTCCCTCCTTCATTTCCCCACTCCTCTACCTGCATTTCCTGGGACCAGCTCCCAAATAAAATGCTTGCTCTAGAATCCTTGATTCAGGGTCTGCTTCTGGGGGACCCCAGCTTCAGACCTTCAATCCTTGAAGTCCTCCTTTATCTCAAGAAGAGGACTTTGCCACCTCAATGCTCCTTTGACACTTTATTTGTACCTCTAATACAAGACATCATGGTCGATCTTGTTGCATTCATTAACTATGAGGAAAGAGTGAAGATAGGGAATATATAAAATTGAGTCACTTAACCAAGCTGCTAAAATTGTTAACATTATGAAGGTTAATGCATGAGGGAGTTATCCTACTCTTGTTCTAACTGGTCTGGGAACTTAAACGTTTTGGATTTTCCAGGCCTGTATTGATTGATGCCTGGGTATAAATCTGGTCATACACCAGACTTCCAGATAAACCCTTGATTACTCCTTGAAGGACTCAGGTACCCAAACCATCTGATATCCATTCTCCAGACCCCTGACATCTGACTGATAGCTATCCTGGACCAACCCAGAGCTGAGAATGCAGGACGGATAATTCTCAAGGATGTACTTTTTACTACAAGAACTCTTAACCTTCATTTCTTCTTCAAGACACTTCTGGGGTTTTGCCTAACTGTGTCCATAGTGTGAAAATTCGCAGACCCTTGAATAAGTCTTTGTCATTTATTTCTAGCAAAGCTTCAGACTCTTTTGAGGTCTTTTGATGAGTAAAAGACGGAAAGGAATATGCATTTACTGAGTACCAGGTGTCTTGTGCTCATTTGTTTATTTATTTGCTAATTAATTTATTCAACATATTTATTGAATATTTACAATGTGGCAGACAATGATGCAGGCCAGGGGTTAGTAAACTATGATGCACAGGCCAAATTCAGCCTGCCATCTGTTTTTGTGAATAAAGTTTTATGGGAACGCAGTAGTGTTCATTTGTTCACACACTTCTATGACAGCTTTTGGCCTACTGAACAGAGTTGAGTAGTTGTGACAGCGACAGTATGTCCTGCAAGGCATAAGATATTGACTGGCTGGCCCTTTATAGAAAAAGTTTGGTGCCCTAGGTCTGGGCACTGGGGGTGCTGCAGTGAACAAAACAAAAATCCGACCCTCCTGGGCAGAGCTTACATTCTGCTGGGGCTCAGGAGAGGTGACAACACAAATAAACCAGACACCAGGTGAGATGTTTCATATGCTGAATCGTGGTAAATGCTATGGAGAAAAATAAAGCAGGCAGGGGGTATCAGGATGTTGCAGGAGGCAGGTAGCAGTGGGGATTACTGTGAACAAATGGGTGTCAGGAAGCCCTGACCATGAAGTTGACATTGGAGCACAGACATGAAGTAGGTGAAGGAGGGAGCCGTGTGGACATGGCAGGAAAGAGCCACTGGATAGAGGAACGGCAGATGCAAGAGCCATTCTGGAGTATTGACAAAGTTAATCTTATGCTGAGCACTAGGTACCAGGCACCCTCCAAGTGCTTACATACATAATCTCATTTAATTACTTAAAAGTCATCTTCTCATTGTACACTTAATCTTACAAAAGAATGATCTGACTATATTTCCAATATTTATACAAAACTTTCAGTTTACAAAGTTTTGTAATGTTTGCTTGCTCATCACAGCATTTCGAGGAGGTTACTGACCTCTTTGTATAATGAAAGACTAGAAAGGTCAAGTTCCTTGCTCCAATTCACACAGCCAGGAAGTGCTGGAGTTGGAAAGCAAACCCAGGCCTGTCTCGGTCCAAATGCCTTATCCCTCTCTCTAAGCCACCCGCTTTGGAAGGCATGAATGCCACCTCGTTAACTCACACCTCACCCACATCCTGCTCCTTAAAGAGAAAAAGCAAGGGGCGTTGAAAGGAACTCAGTGTCCATAGTCCTTCCAGAGGCAGCACAGATAAGCTCAAGTCCCACCCAGAACTCACAGGTACTTGACTACTTCCTCGGTCCTGGGGCACCTATGCTCTGCCCCAGACTATGTCTGGCTGTGCCCAGTGCTCTGCAGAGCTAACCCAAAGCAGGTGCTCAGAAAGGAGTTGTTGCTCGCCAGATGAACCACGGCTGAGTTTTGTTTGGTTGCATTTTTAGCAGTTCGCTCTTAAGAATTGAGGGAATTCAGTAGAAAGCCATTGATTCAGCAAAGAGGTATTGGGATTTATTGTGTGCAAAATCTTTTTACATAGTAAATGGATTTATTACGGCAAGGTTAAGGACGAAGAGGACATGGGTCCCCCCTCTGACAGCTTGTATGTAGTCTGTGGGGGTGAAGAACTTTTTGGGTGTCCTACATGACCTACTGTGTGCCAAGCACTGTGCTGAGCCCTTTGCATGGGCCAGATCCCCTTGCATCAGCATCACAATTCCAAGGGGAAGAAGTCACTACTGTTTTGCAGGTGAGGCATCTGAGCCTCAGGGAGGCTGAGTATCTTACCCACAGGCACGTGGTAAGTGGCAGCAAAGCAAGGATTTCACCAAGTCCCATTTGCCCCATCGAATGTATACAGTCAGCTGTCACACACCTCAGAGAGTCAATGGCCAGAGGCAAAACTCAGACAAAAATTCTGAGGATATTGGCATCCTTGCATGTGAGGACTTCAAGAAAGGCTTACCAAAGAGGGTGCCTTGAGCTGGGCTCTAAAGATCAGGCCCCCAGACAGAGGGGACCCAACCAGAGAGACTGTGTGGGTGATGGCTCCCACAATTTTGCTTATGAGCCCACACATTTGATACAAGCAAGTTGCCACTGGAGGCTGTGAGCACAGAGATCAGGCTGTGCATCAAAAAGGTTAACATCAAAAGTTAACCTTTTCTCCCCCTTTGACTAGTGGTGTTGACCACAGACGAGCTAGCCAACCTTTTCCAGCCGTGGTTGCCTCTCCAGGAGGTTATTATGAACAGCTTGAGGTTAGCAAGTTCACCATTAACTCTGCCTTCACTTGTTCGTTCAGCACACACTTGGAGCCCCTCTCTGAGCCAGGCATGGGCTCTCCATGTAGGAATGACTTGGGATATCCTCAAAGGAGTCCGACCTGAGGGAGAGACAAGCCACCCATTCATTTGTTGATTGATATATTAAAACAACAAACAAAAAGGAAAAACAAACAAACACCTTTTGCTAATCCCCATCTGGACCAGGCTCCGTGTTCCAGGTACAGAACAGGGCAAAACCCATACCTGCCTCAGGAGCTCCCAGTCTGGCCAGGGGCCAGGAGAAACCATTAAGTGCACAGTGTACCCCCAGAGCTGGGGGACACCAAGGCAATAGCAGGGTCCTCTTCTTGTGCTTTGTTTTAAATGACAATAAATAATTTTTTCTGTCTTTTTTTCCTGGTTTAGGGCACTCGTGGAGCCTTCATCATAAATAAACACTGTAAATCAGGTATTCAATAAATGACTGATCAACTGATTGACTGACGTGTCACACAGTAAGTCACCAGCAGTGATAGGGGTACATTCTGGGTATCTGCCGCCCTAGGTGTCCTCAGTGGGGAGCAAATTTACTAGACCACAGCTGGCTTGAGCCGGCTCTGCAGCTCTAGGCTATAGAGCCTCCTGCAAACTTGAAGGAAAATGCAGCAGTTCTCAGCCTGCCTCCCAAGGGGGTCATGAGCATTAATTAGTTACCATTGGTAAAGTGCTCTGAAGGTGTGGGGTGTATAAACACAGTGAGTCATTAGGCCTCTCCACACCACTATGCTCTACAGCCTGGGAACTGCTAATTGAGAAATAATTAACACCTCAGGGTGCAGAGAACGGATACTGGCTTTTCTAAGGATTGGAAGGGATGTAATAATGTGCATGGGAAGCAGGGAGAACTATAAGGCTACTTTGGATCCCAAAATATGCCAAAGATTATTCATCTCCTGCTACAAGGGGGGAGCATGGGGAATACTGCCTCAGTAAGACCTCAGGGACTGCACTCCTTGGGAAAGCCTTGGCCACAATGCTGAGCAGCAGAGGCCGAGCCACACTCTTAGATCAAAAGAGCTCAGGTCCAGCCCAGCACTGTCTGGACTCCTAGCTTGGTTGGGCAGATAGCAGTTGTGTGGTCCACCCAAGCTGTATTTTCCTCAGCTGTAAAACTGAGATGATAACATGTACCCACCATTCCCCCTCTCCCCCACACCGTTGTCTAGTGCCTTTTCTTGAGGTCAGCAGATCCAAACCTGGCTGCATACTAGGGTCACCTGAAGGACTATAAGGTACTGATGCCCAGACCCACCCAGATCAATAACCGGCATCTCCAGGCTGAGCCTGGGTGTGTACAGTGATTCCAATGCAGTCAAGGTCGAGAACCACTGGTTTGGCCTATATGTCAAGCACTGTGTTAGGAGCAATGGGAAAAGAAAATGTAAACCCTACCACACCCCATGTTTCCCTCACACCTGCTTGTCATTTCCTGATTCTGTGCCCATGAGTGTCCTGGTCCTGCTGCCTGGACATTCCACTCTACTCCCACTGCCATTCTTGTCCTGGTAAACCCCATTCATCCTTCAGACTAGACTCCAAGCTCACCTCCTCAGTAAAGCCCTCCTTCCTGTTACTCCCTCAGAGGGGTTCCCAGCTCCCATTACACCACTGATCACACTGTGTTGCTCCTGGAAGATCCAGGATGAGCTGAGAGGTTCTTGGAGCCACTGTCAGAATCACCAGTGTATTGCATTGGGTCTGGTACATTTTAAGCACTCAATAAACTGTAGCTGTTATTACTTAGGTAGAGTTACATGATATGTAGCTGTTACCTCATTACATTTGCACTTGTTGTCCCAGGATCTGGAACATTCTTCCCCCAGATATCTGCAAAGCTCTGTCATCTCCTGCAGGTCTTTGCTAAAATGTGACCTTCTCAATGAGGCTTTCTTGATCATCCTATTTTAAATTGCAAGCACACGACCTCCAACCTGTGCCCTTCCCTAATTCATTTTTCTCCATAGTATTTAACAGCACGTGACTGATGGATTCTGTCCTCATATAAAATTTTGATCATTTGTTCACCATGGACTTTTTGCACTAATTTTTTAATTAATTGCATTAAAATAGCACTTCTCTTGATTGCTGAGTTCCTTGGCATCCCCTTAAGTTTCACTGTATTTGTTTATTGACTGGAATGTAAGCTGCATTGAATACAGGGGACTTTGGTTTTATTCACCACCCCCAGCTTATACAACAGTGGCTGCTGGTACATGGTACTACTCAAAAAGTATTTTATGAATGAAAGTTTGACTTAATATCTTAAAGGCTGCCTTCTTCCAATTGTTTAAAATTTTTTAATTTATTTAAATTGAAAGCCTGTGAAATAATAGGGTAGATCTGAAACAACACCGTCCATTGTTGTCATGATTACACTACAGCCAGCGGTTCTCCGTGTCCGAGGATGGGGCGGGTCCTGGCGGTGGGAGGAAACAAAATCCTGAATAACGGCTTTGACCATAGAGTTACACCTCCGTAAATCCTAGAGAGCACTTCCTGGATTTACTCTTTGCTGCCCCGGCCAATCTTCGATCTTGGGAAGAGCCGACTTCTCTCTCTTTGGCTGAGCTTTCGGAGAACCTCTCTCAAGTCTACAAGTAGAATGGGGCTTGCTCTCCGAACACGGCTCCTGATTGGCTATAAAGGTGGGAGGTGGAACTTGGAGGGGAAGCCCCTCCCACCGCTGCTGGCGCAGGCGTGCTGGCGCTGCGGTCTTACTGGTGCTGGCTGGGGCTGCAATTGGTGAGCGTGGGTGACAGAGAAGAGTCGGGAACTGGCGGTGGGTGTTGGAGGGGGGACGGCGGAGTGAAGAGAGGGCGCTGGGCGCGGACACCTAGGATGCTGGTGTCCGTTTTACCATGTACATCCCGTCTTTGGGTTGGGATGGGGTCACAGTCATATAAACTTTTGGATACTACTTGTCTCATGGTCTCAGTTTCCTCCATGGAAAGTTGAGGCTAGGACTTCCTCCCTGTCTACCTCAGGTGGTTGAGCGTCACAGTGTTCCTAGAAAAGTCAGCCCTGGAAAGACCCTCGGGGATCCGATCTTCCCATTTACCTATGAGAAAACAGGTCCCCAAAGTGCAGTCATTTGACCGTGTCACCAGCCAGCAGGCTTCTGCAGTGCTTCTCCCAGTGTGGTCCCTGGACCAGCAGCATCAGCATCACCTGGGAACTTGCTATAAATACAGATTCTCTTCCTACACCCCAGACCTATTAAATCAGAAACTGTGGGCGTGTGGCCCCACTGTTTGCGTTTTAACAAGCCCTCCAGGTGATTCTGATGCTCACTAAGTTTCAGAACCACTGGTCTACTTAACCTAAGGCTGAGGCAGAAAGGGTCAGAAAGGAAGGGGTGGACTTGAGAGAAATCTTGCAGATAGACTCATTTGCTTTAGGAAGAGCCAAGGGTGAAGGCATTTCTGGCTTGGGCCACTGGCCTGAGGTGGAACCTCAAGTGGTACAGTCAGGTGTGAACCACATGTTCCTTGCCTCCAGGACCCATACTCCATGCAGTCGTACTAGGACTCTGTAGCATTGCCTCCCAGCTTTTCTCAGGTCATAGACCACGCAGAAAATGATAATGTCTGTACAGTGTGCAGGGGCAAGGGATGGTGCTGCCTGAGGCTGGAGAGGACCAGGTGGAGGACTTGAGATTGAAAGCTGGAGGTAACCAGGTGGGAATTCCAGCTTCCCAGTGCTGAGCGGGATCAGTAACTTTGCAGGGGAGCTTTGCTCCATGGGATATGACGAAAATCAGAGGGGCTCACTCAGTTTGACAATATAAATCAAGAACCTTGGAAGTTTAGACTCTTTGACTCGGTAATTTCATTCCTGAAAATCCTCTTCCAGATATAAAACAAAAATAAAGCTTTCTGTTTGTTGTATATTTTGTATAAAAGAGAAAACCAACAACTCTGGTGGTAGGAGAATCATTCTTGATGTAGTCACTCAATGAAATGTACTGTCATTAGAAATGTGTGACTATTTGGTAAAATCATAGAGAAACCTACATGCTTGTCTATCAGATGATGTCTAGTGAGCCCCTGCTGCATGCTGAGTGGAGAGCAAGTTAGATGTGGTCTTTGCCTGCACAGAGCAGAGCGCCTGGGGGAAGACAGACAGCTCATTGAACAGTATAGTGATGCCTCAGTACTCATCATCAATTCATCCCGACGAGTGGCGAGCAAGCAGTGATTGATGAAGCATTTTCTCCTGCGGGGTGGCATTGTGACTCATACAAGTTCTAGCAAGTGCAATGAGTGGCAAGCAAGCACCAAGTGCAGGAACATTTTTCCTTGTCAAAATGCAATAAGTACGAGGTTTGACAAGTTCTGAAGCCGACGAGTATTGAGGTACCACTGTAACTCCAAAGAGTGACTGGTGTTTGGTAGGGATCTGTGCTGCAGGAGAAGCTGGTCTTTGGAATGCAGGGAGTGGTACAAAGCAGGCGTGCTGGAGGGCAGGATGGTACTCCTGAGGCCTGGAGGATGGGTAGGTGTTGGTGTTCAAGGGGAGCAGTGTATTTAAAGTGAGCATGGTGCAGCAGGAACATGGAGAGGGCGATGCTGAGATGCAGCAGAGGAGCAGCAGCCAGCTAACATGGGGCCGTGGCACTGTGCAGGTCTGAAGCTCAGACCCGATTCTAAGGGTATCCAGAAGCCATTGGAGGACTTTAAGCAAGAAAAACTGTTAGGTGTTTTGGAAGTGTCCCCTATGGCTGCAGCGTGGGGAGTGGATTAGAGAAGGAGCGGGTGGAAGCTGGGAGCCCAATGAGGAGGCCGTTGCACTAAGCAAGTGAAATGATGGTGGTCTGGATCTGGGTGGAGACTGCGGAGGTGGAGAGAAGGAGTAGATTGAACAGCAGGTGAAGAAGAAGGAATGGCAGGGCCCAGAGGGTTGGTGTATGTGGGACATGTGGGGTGGAGTGGATGGAGCCCAGGTTTCTGGTTTGGGCACAGGGTGGCTTGCAGTACTCTTCAGAGTGATAGGCAGCACTGGAGGGGGTAGGTTTGGGGGAAAGGTGCTGAGTTTGAAGTGCAGTGTGTTCTCCAGGTGTTTAGATGAGTACTTCTGAAGCTCAAGAGACATATACGAGGTAGAAATGTTGACTTGGAGCCATTAGCATGTGGCCTGACCAGGAGGGCGTGTGTATGTGAGGAGGGCAGAGCACAAGCCATTTGACATTTAAGAAGGGTGGGCAAGGGACAGGACTGACAAAAAAGGTAAGGGATCACCAGCTGCAGTTGTCTTTGAACTGAGAGATTATAGTTGCTTTCCTTTTCTTTTTTATTTGTTTCTTTTCCCCACTAGTTTTCAATAATAATAATAATAATAGTAATAGCAAACATCGGTTGAGCTCACAGAATGTGCCAGATACCATTCTAATAACTTTTTATAACTCCTCTAAATTCCCTATGTATAAGGTAGGTCCTACATTATTACCATTTTACAGATAAAGAAACTGAGCACAGAGGGTTGAGTCATGTTCCTGGGCTCCACGGGGTGCTATCGGCAGGAAGGCCCCTGGCTCCCAGACTGCCCGGTGTCAGCGCCTGTGCATTTGCCTCCCGTTCATGTCTCTCCACAGTGTGTGATTACATTTTTGTAAGTGGGAAAATGGTGATTTTTTTTTTTACATGGCAGTAAGAAAAGCACTTGGACCTGCAAAGATATTAGAAATGAAAGAATTTGCATCTGCACAATCAGTGGCTGTCTTAGAAGTTTGCTGGAGGCCAGACTGAGCTGGCCATTTCATGGTGTCAGACAGAGTTAACACTTACTTCTGCACAACTCATTTTTCTCCAGGCACAAGTGCTGCCCTGTGCCGGGTGTCATGGAATGGCTGCTGACGAGATGCAGAGCACTGCCCGCCCTGGCCACCTGCACCCACCAGCTCTCTGGGTACATTCCCCGCAGGTTTCACTTTGCCCCAGGGAGAGGGAAGCGCATGGCACTGTCCCACATGTTCCAGCCCCAGAACCTTCGGGAAAACCAGGTGCTCTCGCTGGAGGGCAGATCTGGTGACTTGACCTGTAAGAGCCATCGGCTAATGCTGCAGGTGGGCCTGATTCACCCAGCAAGCTCTGGTTGTTACCACCTCCTGCCTTATACCGTTCGTGCCATGGAGAAGCTGGTGCGGGTGATAGACCAGGAGATGCAGGCCATTGGTGGGCAGAAGGTCAACATGCCCAGCCTCAGCCCAGCAGAGCTCTGGCGAGCCACCAACCGATGGGACTTGATGGGCAAGGAGTTGCTAAGACTTAGAGACAGACATGGCAAGGAATACTGCCTAGGACCAACTCACGAGGAAGCCATTACAGCCCTGGTTGCCTCCCACAAGACACTGTCCTACAAGCAGCTCCCGATCCTACTGTACCAGGTGACAAGGAAGTTTCGGGATGAGCCTAGGCCCCGCTTTGGACTTCTCCGTGGCCGAGAGTTTTACATGAAGGACATGTACACCTTCGATGCCTCCCCAGAGGCCGCCCGGCGGACCTACAGCCTAGTGTGCGATGCCTACAGCAGCCTATTTGACAGGCTGGGGCTGCAGTGTGTCAAGGTCCAGGCAGACGTGGGCAGCATCGGGGGCACGATGTCTCACGAATTCCAGCTACCAGTGGATATTGGAGAGGACAGGTTTGCAGTCTGTCCCCGCTGCAGCTTCTCAGCCAACATGGAGACACTGGACTCATCTCAAACGAACTGCCCTGCTTGCCAGGGACCTCTGACCGACACCAAAGGCATTGAGGTGGGGCACACGTTTTACCTGGGCACCAAGTACTCCTCCATTTTCAATGCCCAGTTTATTAACGTCCATGGCAAACCTGCCTTGGCTGAAATGGGGTGTTATGGGTTGGGTGTGACTCGAATCTTGGCTGCTGCCATTGAGGTTCTCTCAACAGAAGACTGCGTTCGCTGGCCTGGCCTCCTGGCTCCTTACCAAGTCTGCCTCCTCCCCCCGAAGAAGGGTAGTAAAGAGGAGGCGGCCACAGAGCTCATGGAGCAGCTGTACGACTACATCACAGAGGCGGTGCCACAGCTTCATGGGGAGGTCCTGCTGGACGACAGGACCCATCTGACCATTGGGAACAGACTGAAAGACGCCAACAAGTTTGGCTACCCCTTTGTGATCATTGCTGGCAAGAGGGCCCTGGAGGACCCTGCCCATTTTGAGGTTTGGTGCCAGAACACCAGTGAGGTGGCCTTCCTCACCAAAGAAGCAGTTGTGGCATTACTGAGCCAAGTACAGGTCGTCTGAATGCCCCCAGCCCCGCCCCACTGCGCAGCCGTGGAGTTCATTCAGATGCCGCCTTTCCTGTGCTCCTTTCTGGGGCTGGTCTCTCCAGAAACAGGGCAGCTCATGGAAGGTGAGCACATGTCAGGAAACCGATTTTTATCTCGTCATTTATTCACACTATTTGTATTTAGTCATTCACTTGGTCCCTTCCTCTGGACTGACCATGCTGCCACTTTATATCTCACTGTGGAAGCCTCTGTTAGGAGACAAGGAGGCAAGAAAGAGCAGACTTCTCATCATGTCCCTGAGGTGATCACCTGCCTTGTCTCAGCTGCGTTTCCCTTGTGTGGGGCGGGAGTGGCTGACGGCCGAGGCCCTCGTGGCTCCATAGTCTGACTGTAGGCCATGCTACATCGGCCCTCCTCCACTTGAACATGTCCTCTTCCCTACTGGGGCCTCAGTTTCCGCATCTGCAACAAAAAACTACGAGCCTAGATCTATGAAGTCCTTAACAACTGTCACTGGCTGGTTCCACAAGAGGTTCATGATAGACAGACCTGGTTCCTCTGATGTTCTGTAGCTGAAGCTACAGAGAAAGTTCATGTGATGAGCTAACGGCCCCAACAGATCTGGCTCCGTGGAGGTGGCTGTGCACTGAGGTCATGCTGTGTTGATTGAATCAAGTCCGACTGTTGGGATGAGCCTCGCACACATTGAAATAGTGGCAACATCTTCCATTTTACTATTGTAGCGGCAGCTTGTCTTGAGAGTCTTCTTTCTTTTCCTACCGTTTCTACTCTCTATCCCAAAAGGGAAAAAAAGGGTGTCTGGAAAACTGGACTGGATTGGGAGTAAAAAGGAGAAAACTGTATTTGAACAATGATTAAATTTAAAAATAAAGAAAGAAAGAAAAAAGAAAAAAAAACTTAATTCCCACACATACCAGGGGTAGCAGGCTTCGAGTGCCATGTTGACAGTGCCACGTTGACCTCAGTGCAGAGTCGGATTCCAGAGCCATGGCAGGGGTGAATATTAAGGTCTCTGCCTGAACTGTGTGGAAAACTAGGAGCAGACTTGAGCCACTCCCGCAGTGCTGCCTGCTTCTGTTGCTCCCATTCATCATGTTAGGGTCTCATCCAAATCTAACAAGGGCAAGCTCAAAGCCACCATCTCCTAAAAAGGCCCTTGACAGCTCCTGAAAGTGGTTTTCCATCTGGCTGCCCAGCACTCTCCCATTAAGCCCAGATCGCATGCTTTCTTGTTCGGGGCCACACAGCTCCTTGTCTGGTGGGCCAGCCTCTTGTAGTTGATAGTCACCTCCCCAGGGCCAAGGTGCTAGACAGATTCCAAAAGCACCACAGTTCTTGTCCTGGCCAGTTCCACCTGCCACAAGCTTCCCAGCAGCTTGTTATCACTAGAGTAACCCTACCCCAAACAAACCTCAGGTTCCTAATTACTGCACATGCCAAGCCCTAATGACTCCCAGCCCTAGCACGGGGGCTCAGGCCCAGCATTCAGGCCAGGAGATGTGGATTCTGACAGCAAACCTAGAAAGGCCAGATTGTGAGGCACGGGAGCTTACCCTCGGCTGTAGTTGGAACCACCTGGGTTCCACCCAGAGCGAGGTTCTGCTTATGGACTGGGGTGTGGCCAGGTGTTGAACCTCTGGGATGATTCTAATGTGCAGAGTCCACTGAGAGCGCCTTGTGTGCGGGTAGCTGCCTTCTCTGCGCCTACTTATAGTTGTTTCTTCTGAGTAATTTAGGTTGCACATTAACAGACTGATGTAAGCTCTCTGCTTTTAGTGGTCTGGTCATTTATTGTTGGGGTTTGTCATGTGCCACTGTGCTGTGAGACCCTTTTATACACTGTTTCAGATCTTGAAGATGTGCAGGGGAGGTGCTCTTACTCTCCATTTACCAATGAGCAAACCCGAAGTTTAAGCAACTTACTCAAGGATGCACAGCTCTTAAGTATCCGAGCTAGAATCCAAGTATTGACCAAAACCTCTGCCCTCCCCACCACACTGCATGGCCTCTGCCTGCACAAAAGTGATTTCAGAAAATAAAACTGGCCCTGGCTGGAGTGGCTCAGTGGACTGAGTGCCGGCCCTCAAACCAAAGGGTCACTGGGTTTGATTCCCAGTCAGGGCACATGCCTGGGTTGCAGGTCAGGCCCCCCAGTAGGGGGCATGTGAGAGGCAACCACACATTGTTGTTTCTCCCTCCTCTCTCTAAAGAAAAACCTTGAGAAAAAAACCCAAAACAATGATTTATGTCTATCTAATCAAATTTGCCTAAAATAGGTGAGAAATTAGAATTCATACAAATAAGTGCATATATATTTAAATTGGTGCTCTATAATCATATATATTGAAGGCTAACCCTTTTAAAAAAACAATCTTTAACTCAAGCACATGAATTATAAAATGATTTGAGGGTGATGTAGATATGGAACTTCAGAGCAGAAGGAGCCCTTGGAGTCTGCCTGTCCAGCCTTCACTTCACAGATGGAAGACAGGCCTGCCATGGGAATTCACCAGCTACACACCATATGGCTGGCCAAAAGTGTGACGGTAGGCCAGGTGCCACATCCCCTAAAGTAGGCTGCTTCCAGTTATCGTATCATATTAAGAGAGGGCAGGCTGGGTCAGCTTTTGAGCTTCATAAGCCTCGTAAGTATGACACAGGTGCTTTCCAAGGCAGACAAACGGAGTGCAGTGGTTTCCTAAAGTCAAGTTAAACTGATACCTAGGTGTCCTGGTTACTTAGCCAGTGTTTCCTCTCGTAGCCAGGGGCAGTTTCGTTTGGCTGAAAGATCAGAAGAGACAGCCCTAGATTCACCTCTAGGACCTTAGACAAATTACTTGTCCCTTGCGTATTTCAGATTCTTGTCTGTAAGATGCCCCCATGTTAATGGTCTTGTCTGGAGGTTGGCTGAGCTGGCTTACATGAAATGCTTAACCCTTGGCATGCTCCCAGGAAACACTTCCCTCATACCAGATGGCATAGGGAATGCCCCCAATGGGGGCTCAGGGCTGCTGTTAACTTTATCACCAGACCTGGATCTTGTTTTCTCGTGATGCTTTACAACCTTCCTGGGAATGCCCCAACAAGAACTAAGTAACGCCTGCGGAATGGCTCCATCTCCTTGGAGGAAAAGACAGAAATATTCACATTGTGTACCTTTCTCCTTCCTGAGCTTGCCAGTGTCACCACTTGCTATAAATTGATGAAATGGAAATGCTTGCAAAATAACAGGTACAAGCTGTATTATCATTGCTTATTCCTTGGGGAGATCTAGAAGCAACTTGCTGGGAAATATTTAGCAGAATTAATACTTGGGGACAAAGGCTGATGCATAACAAAACCATCACATAAATCAAGCTTAGGATGCAAATCAAGGGCTCCATTAATATTCTGTGTTTTAATGGAAGAAACACCTGCTGGGCTATCCATAAAGGAGCTTGCAGAAATCTGTAGCAATTGTCATTTCCTTAACTACCTGTGTGCCAGGCCTCTTCGCAGAGTCCTCACCCTCCATTTCTACACCAAGGCAGCAGAACCCTTTTTAGAATGGATTGTTACACATCTAAGGGCATGGAAATCTTTGCTTATAGTGAGGAAAAATTCTTAGAATTGTGGCTAGTTTTCTATAATACGGAAAATGGTTGAAAAATTATGTTATTGCAAACTTAGGGAACATTTGAAAAAAAAATCAATTAAATTCTTCATTTAATTGAAAATAATGACATATTAGTCACCCAGACTAGAGACTCAAGTCAGACTTCTTGGGCTGCCTGGTAGCTGTGTGACCTTGTGCAAGTATGACCTTCTTCATACTCCCAGCCTTTCCTGGTCAGTAAATTAGGGACAACAGTGCCTAGCTCATAGCAGGTGCTTGGTAGGGGGCAGCTGCCCTTGTTAGCCCTTTGCACACAGTAGGTGGACAGATGGTGCATGCAGGTCAACACATTCAGCCACCACTTTAGTGCAGACATGGTGGCCACTCCTGTTAAACCAGCAGCTCTCAAGGCTGCTATGGTGAAAGCTTAATTGCCCTTGGCTAATTAAAACTGTGTAGGGCCAGGAGAGGGAGGAGGAAGCACTTACCAGTTAATGCTGACTGAGGACGCCCCATTTGCAAGGGTAGAACTTGTTGACCAGGCTCACCTAGAAAGCTCGTGGGCTGACGGGAGCCTCACTGGTAGGGTGTTGGGTGCTGTGGGCTCTGGTAGGGTTTCTTCAGACTGGATTCCTGTACCCAGGCAGACAAGTTGGGCACATTGAATGACTAAATGCCAAGACTTTAACATAACCTTGGAGTAAGTAGGCAAAGGCCACTGGATCTACTGTCAACTCCTCAAAGGTAGGGGCCAATCTTGTTATTGGTATCTCCTGAAGGGTTTAGGGGAGCCCTGAATTCAAGTTCTGGCTGGACTTCTCACTAGCAAGCTGACTTTGGACGAGTCGCCTACCCTCTCTGCCACTTTTCTCGTCAGTAAAATGGTGCCATACAGCTGCTCGCCCCCTGGGGTGCTGGGACTGAGCCAGTCCACATATGGCACCTAGAACACGGTCTGGTACATCCGAAGTGTTCCACAGATGGCAGCTGTTACTGCTAGGCCAGGCCAGCATATGCACCACCCCTGGAATATGCCTTTTCAAGACTCCTTGCCTTTGCTTGAAGGCTTCCCACTTCCCCCCATCCCGCCACCTTGTTCATCATGGCCCTTATCCATTATGTGTTCAGGGGTGAAAAAGCTCTGCCTCAAGTCATGGATGCTAAGGATGCTGGAGCCTTGACCTTGCTCTTCCTCCTCTCTGGACTTCAATGTCCTCATCTGTAAAATGAGGTGGAGGAGGGTTGAATCCTTGCAGGAGCTCTGACTCAGCTCTGCTAGTGTCCCAGACATGGGCAGATGACCAGGGTGGTCCCAGATGAGGGCCCAGCCCACATGCCCAGCTGGAAGTGTCTATACCTGCACCCCAACCCTGAAAGCCCTGACCCTGACCTGTGGGGTCTGGGGCGTACACATGCCAGTCTTGTGCAGCCCCTGTTCTGCGGTCCTGCTCCTAAATCTCTGCCTGGTCCACTCTCCTGGAGACCAGAGAATGGCAGAGCCCATGGGCAGGGCAGGCGAGGAGCACTCCTGGAGGTGTAAGATGCCACAGTGGGCTTGAGCTTGGAGGTGCCACTGATGCTAGTGTGTGCACACATGGGGCCTCAGAACAGGACCTGCTGTATTTTTTTCATTCATCCACTTATCCATCAGCACACTCACTCACTGAGCTCCCACTGTGTGTTGTGTCCAGCCTGGGTACTCAGACAAATCCCCATCTGGCCCCTGTCCACTGACAGCTGGCCTTCTGGAAGGTGTAGTGCAGCATTTCTCAAACCTGTTATTGACAGTTTGGGCCACACTGGGCGGTGGGAGCAGGGGCCGGGGGTCGTCCTGTGAACTACAGAATGTTTAGCAGTATCTGACTTCAGTTCACTGGATGCCAGTACCATCCCACCAAGTTGTAATGATCAAAAATGTCTCCAGACACTGGCAAAGGTCCCTTCAGTGCAATGACCCTGGCAGAGAACCACTGGCCTGGTGTTACCAGTCTGCACAGATGCACACCCGGGTATAAGTCGCTTAAGAACTAGTTGTTAATTCCGTGCCAGGCAACTGACTAAGCACTTTGCATGTGGAACCTGCACAGAAGTGCCACAGACACCTGTGAGGAGGGGACAGGGAAACATTTCAGATGAAGCAGGCTCCTAGCGCAGTCCCTTACAGTCACAAGTCAACAGCCACTAGGCTCCTACCTCTGGTGTAACACTTCGCCATTCTAAGTCTCTCTTCTCTTTTCCACGTCGGCCCCCACCCCTCCCTGGAGGCACAGGCAGGGACTGACAAGAAGGAGAGAAGTTACTGACCTGGCCTGCGAGGAGCCTTATGAAAGGGGTAGGTGATGGGGATGAAGGTCACATAACGGCCCTTGTCAGGTGCATCTGTTTTTGAATGTACAACCTGCTCTCATCTGTCATATCAACCCAGCCTCACAGTGCCCCTGGGAGGGGCCAGGCAATCAGTCTGTTCCACAGAGGAGTAGGGAGGCACACTGGAACCTGCTTTGCCACAAGACTGAGGTGGCTGGAGCAGCTGCTACAGGGAACCCTGCAATGCCTGCTACGGTTGTTGCTGACTGTCGGGCCCCTTACACAAAGTGCTGAGTTCCCACAAAGAGAACCAAGCAGGAAGTCAACAGCTGGGAAGTGAGGGAGAACGGCCTCAGTATGGCTTCAGCTAGGCTTAGGGTGGAGGCTGAACTCCAGCCTCCTGGGCATAAGCTGCATGGTTCTTTGTAAATATTCCACAGCAAGTTGTCCTTCAAAGACAAGGAAGCACACAGCACAAAAGTACATTAGTCCATCTCAAGGACAGCAACTGGTTTCAGTTTAATGATGTATTAGTTAGCTTTGTTGTAGTAACAAACAACCCCCAAGTCTCAGTGCTATTACAACAACAAACGTTTATTTCTCACTCAAGTTACAATCAGTGGTTGAGGGCAGCTGCTGTAGCTGTTCCGCATGTCTTACCATGCTGGCACCCAGGCCGAAGGAGCAGCCCGCCAGGGAGGTATGTTCTCATGGCAGAGGAAAGAAAATGAACATTCCACATCATGGCTCTTCAGGCGAGTGCACTCCTCCCCGGGGAAGGGGTGGACATGACAGGAACTCACATGGCTACAGCTCAGGACACAGAAAGCCCTCTCGGTACAACTTAGAACAATGATTCAACACGCAAAAAGATTTTCCAGTGCAAAAGGCACAAAACCCTAAAATGTGAGAACTGGGGAAGGATGCAGTCCACTGTCCAAGTGCATCGCTGCCCCCCACACTGCGAAGACTGGGAAAATTGGCAAACCTTTCAGGGGTTCTAGAGGGTCCCAGATTGTAGGTGTGTACAGATACAGAAACAGGACCTGGTGTTCCTGGCCCCATCTCATCCCAAGGCATCTACAGTATCTCCACAGAGCAACCCTCCATGCTCAGGAAATAACCGGAGGCCAGAACCTCAGCTTTAGTGCCTTAAAATTACAGGCGTGGTTTGTGTGTATGTGCAGTGTGAGGGGTAGCTTCTCTAAAGCCTCTAACTCCACAAAGGTTAGAACGTGAACTTAGGTCACTGGATAGTGAGTCAGTCCAGTGAGTTCCTTGGGTGAGTTGCTGTGGTAACCGACAAATGGTCCCTTCAGAGATGGAGGCTGGTTAATGCAACTCACAGTGAGTCCAAGGATGTCATGACCAAACAGAGACTAGTGAGGACCAGCTGAGGCTGAGCACTTTGACCAGAGAAGCTGCAGTTCAGGGAAGTCAGCAGCTCCTCCCTGCCTATGATTTGAGGAAGGACAGTGGCCGGGATGAGGAAAAAAAAGTGCTGGGTTCTAGGAGCACGTCCCGCTGATTCAGGTAGGCTATACTCCGGGGAGAGGGGGTCAGGGAGGAGGTCCAGGGGGAATGGCTCCACAGCCTGGCTCCGTCCCTCTACCTACTGCACATTTCTCGCCCGGAAATAACTTCTAGAGAAAAGAGAGGATTCCACACAGACCAAAAACGATGGTGTCAGGTCTTTCACAAAGCACCTGTAGGCAACACAACAAAAGAGAGGGGTTAACTGCACTGTAATCTTAACCATCTATGGCCTTCCCAACAACATTCAAGGTGAAGCTTTGGACGTAAGTCAACATTAAAATGCAAGTTTAGCATGTTTGTAAGGCTGCTTATAAATCTGGCAAATTAGCATGGCCTTGCCCCCTCAGAGTCTTTGGGCCAGCCCTCTCGCAGGCACAGCCCTCTGAATGCCTGTGGCTAAACCTGACATGAATCTGTTAGAACATACTTTCACTCATTCATCCAATAGTGAATACCCAGGGTGAGCCAGACACTGGGCTGAAAACAGTTTAAAAAACAAAAACCATTGTCTCGGCTCTCAAGTCCTAGAGGGAGGGAGATAAATAATCAATTCACCACAGCAAGGCACAAGTGTAGCAGCATTTGTGAGGTATAGCCTTGGCCCAAGGGGTGTGATTCCCTCTATGTGAAGCCCCATGCTTCACATCTATTTACATCTATTACGCAGCCCCATGAAGTGACTCACCGGGGGTGCTGCAGCACCTGCCGCAGGGTGCTCTTGGGAGGCACCTGGTACAGCTCTTCCCTCTCCTCATCCTCAAAGTAGACCTGCAAGGTTAACAGAGGAGCAGCAGTCAGATACAAACAAAGGGCTGCAGCAGCACCAGGCATGTCGAGGCCAAGTCCAGGGAGAAGGTACAGAGATGATGACTGTTATTAGCTGAATGCCTCCTGTACAGAGCTGTGGAATATAAAGCACTCAGACCTCCCCCAGGGGACTAACAAAGGTATCATGGGCCCTGATCACTGTGGCTCAGTGGGTTGAGCATCATCCCACAAAGCGAAAGGTCACTGGTTCAATCCCAGTCAGGGTATGTGCCTGGGTTGTGGGTTCAGTCCCTGGTTGGAGTACGTATGAGAGGCAACCGATGAATGTTTCTCTCTCCCATTGATGTTTCTCTCCCTCTTTCTTCCCACCTACCCCTCTCTCTAAAATAAATAATCTTTTTAAAAATTAAAAAAAAAATTTAAAGGTATTGTAAGGCTTCATTTTCCAAAGATAGAACCAAGGCTCAGAGAAGGGAAATAACTCACCAATGAAACCCAGCCAGTAAACAGAGGAGCCAAGACTCAAGCCCAGGACTATGAGCCTTTCCCTCCCTAATAATTCAGTCCTAGAGCCATTAGCTGTGCAGGGAGAAGGCCAGGACAGCACAGAGCAGGGGTAAAAGGGTGGCCACACAGGGAACAGCCCTGTGCAGGTGTCAAAGCCCAAGCAGGGAGAGCAAGACACCTGCACAGACGGCTGCAGAGCCTAAGGGGTGTCCACAGAGCCTAGCCAGTTGAAGAGGGGATCCTTGCTGGGGGCTGGCCAGCCTAAGGCTGAGAAGGGTATTCTTGTAGGACAGCTGTCAAGAATGGGGTGTCAGAACCCATGTTGGGCTAGGGGGATGCCCATGCATGGGAACAGCCTATATAAGGTGTCAGGGCCCAACCAGGGTGAGAAAGGCAACTGCTAACGGCAGGGGGAGGGCTGCCATGGAAAGTGAGAACCCCAACAGGATAAAGGGGACATTCATGCAAAGGGGTTGGACAGTGTGTGTGTAGGATGAGGAGGCCACCTATGCTGGGGCAGCAGCCTGCTGTAGGGGTCCAAAGTTTAGGTAGGGTGAGGAAGATTCCACATGGAAGAGGGGCCAATGGGGTAACAGGAGGGGGACTGATCAAATGAGTAAATATACGAAAAGTAACAGAAGCCACTATTACAAACGCAGGAAGAAGAGAGATCTTGTCGTGTTGGATTAAAACTGGAGACCCCTGTGAGACCTCATATCTCTCTCCCTCTCACACACACACTTACACACGCACACCCCTATTTAACAGATCCTGGCTTCCAAATACACTTTTCCACTGAAACAACCAGGGTTCCTTGGGAAAAAGTGGTTGTTCCCAGAAGTAGGACAAGAAAAGCACAAGTTGAGCCTAGAACACCTCATGCCAGAAAGCAAGGAAATGCTTTAAAAAATGGAAACAAGTCAAAAGGACACAGAAACAAATTTGAAGGGATTACACTGGCCAAATCTGAGATAATCTGAGCATAACCCAATCACAGTGATAGATTGTAATTCAATGAAATAGGAAACCATAAATCCACTGATATAAAAATGATTATGTTGAAGGTGTGACAAACAATAAGATATGTACATAATTTCATAGCACCTCCCTATAAATTACTAATTACAAAGGGAAAAAGATTTACTTTACAGTGGAAAAGACTGTCAGAGCCCCACTTTGATCAGGTGATCAAAGCAAATGCAGCAACGGGACAACCTGAAATCGGGAGCAACTGACAGCACGCAACAAGGCAGAGCGCCACCTGTGTGATTTTCCAGTCAGATGTGCATCTGGTCAAACCCACACTGATGCACTCCACACAAAATACCCAATCCGTACCCTTCAAAAGTAGTAAAACCATGAAAATTGAAGAAAGACTGAGAAACTCCGCAACAGCCTGCAGGAGACTAAAGGGACGTGAGCACTACTAGTACAGATGCAGTGTGGGATTCTGAACGGTCTGTTCGCCATGAAGAACCAGCGGGACAGTGTGTAAACACCGAACAGAGTCGAAGGCTCGACAGTACTAGCGCAGTGATCTTCAACCTTTTCATCGCACGGCACACACAAACCACTAAAATCCTGCGATGCACACACACATACACATCTGATCCGACAAAGAAACAGATATTATTCGACTCATTCACACTGGATGGCTATTGCTGTGTTGGCTGTTGTCAGTTTTTCATTTGACAATCTAAGGGAAAAGAGGTCAGTGCCCTTGACTAAATAGCCAGGGATTGTATGTTGTAAAAATCCTGTGGCCCAGCAGTTGAAAATCACTGTACTAGTACATCGAAGTTAACTTCCTAATTTTGATGGTTGATTGAGATGATGAAGGAAAATGTCCTTGTTTTTGGGAAACAGAAACTGAAGTATTCAAGGGTAATGGGGGGTCAGCTGGCATCTTATTCTGAAATGGTTAGAAGACAAATTCTTCATTCTGTAATTTGTGATTGTTTTGTTAATCCCAACAACGGAATATTATTTCGCCTTAGAAAGGAAATTCTGATACCTGCTACAACATGGATGAACCTTGAGGACATTATGCTGAGTGAAATAAGCCAGCCACAAAGACAAATATTGTATGATTCCACTTGTATGAAGTACCTAAAGTAGTCAAGTTCATAGAGACAGAAAGTAAAATGGTGCTTTCAAGGGGTTGTGGGTAGGGGGAATAGGGAGTTGTTATTTAGTGGGGACAGTTTCAGTTTGGGGTGATGAAAATGGAGAGGGATGGTGGTGATGGTTGCAAATAATGCACATAAACTCCATGCTGCTGAAACATAATTATTAATAATTATATAACTATAATCTCATAACTATAATTAAAAAACTAAAAATGCTATTTTTATGGTAAAAATACAGAATATAAAATTTACCATTTTATTTATCACAAATTAGAAAAAAAATTCACAATTTTTTTAAAAAAGCAATAAAACCCCCACATTCCTCAAAAAATCCCATACAGGAAACAAAACAATACTTCTCTTACCTCTAAATTATCAGCATAGTATTTCCGCTCTAAGTCCCAAGGGGGCAGTTCATCAAACATCTCCACTAGATGATCAATAAACCTAAGGATGTAACATATGTACTTTCTTGGTATCAGTTACTCATGGTCTACTTTCCCACATCACAGCCCCCAGAGATCAAATCACAGAGATATCAAGAATGTATAAACATGAAATGCAATGTGAGTCATTTTCACAACAGTGCCCAAAATGTGCATCACCTGTCCTATTATGACATAGTCATTTTCTTTAAATTTAAGCCTGACTCAAGCCTAACAACATTCCTCACATTTAGCCACATTCTAAGCATTAACCCTAGGAAATCTCACATTAAAACTGCTAGTCGTATTTTTTCCTAACATACACTTAAATTACTATGAGTGTACTACCTACAATGATTTCACATCTCACTAGATATGTACAAACACTGTATTAGCCCCATCATACAATGGTGGGACTGTGTCTGTCACTGCAGAGCTAGGGAGCCAAGGGAGAAATCAGGGACAGGATAGAGATTACGCAAATCAGACCGAAAACCTCGAAACTATTCTCTTCCCTCCTGAACTGAAAACCACCTGTCCCGCCTGCAGAGACAGCAGGAAAAGAGCATGCCAGCAAGACAGAGGTTCTGGGGCAAGTAAGTACCTGGAGTCTTCATGAAAAGCAGAGATGAAGTCCGACTGGGCATACTCCGGGTACAGAAAGAGCACAGGCCAGCTCAGTCTGCCCTGGTCATCCAAACTTGGCTTGGCTCCGTAGGGGTTCTGCAAGTTGAGCCCGTCCAGCAGTTTACAAAGACCTGCTGAGGCGGATTCTTCCTCCTCACTGGCAGGTTCAAAGACTAGCCTGACGTTCCTAGCCTGGAGTAAAGACAGAAACAAACAGAAACCTTATTGTGTGGAAGGACATGAACCCATTTCACTTGACCAGGGAAACCACAACACTGCAAGCTCCCTGATTCACCTTCATCATCCCTGAGGCCTGGCACACAGCAGGCATCGCGTGTTTAACTCAGCTTCCCCGAACATCTACAACAGAGGCCAGCTAGACATGGTTCTTGCCCTCAAGACCTTGCTCATAGTCTAGTGGGAAGAGATCTCTGGAAATGAATACAATATACAGCAAGAAGTAAAGCTGTGGGACTGCAGACCATGAATAATTAGTTCAGTCTGAGGCTGGAGGTGACTGGGGAATGCTAGGCCTTAAAGACTGAAAGGTGGAGCAGCGGCAAGTGGAAGGGCATTTCACCCCAAGGCACAAAAAAGACCAAGAATGTGACATGTATAAAAATGGCAATGCTTTGTATGGAGATTCCAAAGGGTACAAATAAGAAAAATTACATGCAGTCAAAATTGCCTTTGATGGTATCTCCTAACGGAATGGCAAACTTCCTTGGGTCGGATAAATATTCTAGGCTTTGTGGGTCAAATGGTCTATGTTGAAGTTAACTACTCAGCACTGGCACTGTAGTGTAAGACAGCCACAGGTAACACGTAACACACAGGCAGGGCTGCAGTTTGCTGACTTCTGCTTTACACCACTGGTAACAGTATGTGTGGCTGTGCGTATACACTATCTTTTGAACAGTGAAGTTTCTGAGATGCAGTTGGACTACAGGAGAGAACCAAAATAAGGTCTGTGTGCAAATGTCTGGGCATCCCAACAGTCTACATTTTAGGAAATGACCAAATCCCTGACTGTAAATGATGGAGAATCGGGGGTATTCCATTTTGTGTAACCTGTTAGTATGTGTTAACAGTCTGCTTGTTGTGGGGAAGGACTAGTGGAGTGTGTCTTAGAAGTGTGACGTTGTCGAAGTGAACAAGTCACTTAAATGGGTGCATAATTTAACTCGCCCAAGAATGAGACCAAGAGCCTACCCCACACTCTCACAGCAGGTGTTGTCTCCCTTGTGAAGACCAAGACCAAGTAAGCCAAGGCTCTCAAAGTGACTGGCTCACCAGGTAAAAGCAGGGTTTGGATCAGACACATTCATTTAGAGCAAGGATCTGACTCTGACCACTATTAGCTATGTGAGATTTCTTTACCTCTGTGAGATTCCATCATCATCTAGCAAGAGGGGCAAGAAAACCTACCTCAGAATGCTACTGTGAAGATTAAATGATGCTTAACCCATAGCATCTATTCAGTACAGGTTACCTGAGACCAACACGTGTATACAACTGGGAAAGGGGACTGAACTTGGGGGATCTGACTCCAGAGCCCCTTCATCACACTGAGAGATAATGAACAAATTCATTCAGGCAAAGCATCCCAAGACAGGTTCCCAGGAGGCCTCAGGATGAGTGGATTTAACAAGACCATAAGGGCCTAAGGGTTGAAAACTCACCTTGATGGCCTGGAGTAAAGCTTCATTCTCGTTCTGCTCCTTCTTTTCTTTCAGCTTGGCTTTCCTCATATCCCTCTCTTCAGTTCGCTGAAAGTGTAATTCAGATCCATCAGCTCTAGGGAACTTGCTTCCTCTGGTTACCCCAGCCTGTTCCTAAATTACTGTCTCATCTCTACCCAATCCAGGCTCCTGTGTCAAGGAGTGCCAGTGGCCAAATTCAGTTCAACCAACATTTAAAATCACGTGCCTGGGTGCCAGGACCAGTGGCGACAGAAATTTGAAAATCTGCAGTTCCTGTACCTAAGGAGTTCACTGTCTGCTGAGGGTCAGACAAGTACAAGGTCACCCTGGTGGTGTGAACCAGGTGCTATGAAACACGGAAGGAGTAACTGATTCTGCCCCTTGGAGGAGGTGGGTTTAGACAGGCACAGGAGAGTCCAGTCCACCAGGAGAAAGGGCATTCTTGGTAGAAGGACTGACATTGCTTGGATACCACTATGGGGCATTTCTTTTGTTCCTTTTTTTCTTTATCCTCACTGAGGACATGCTTATTGATTTGGGGGGTAGGAGGGGGAGAGGGAGAGAAACATCGATTGGTTGCCTCTCATATGCGCCCAACCAGGCACCAAACCTGCAACCTAGGCATGTGCCCCAGCCAGGAATCAAACCCACAACTTTTTCAGTTTACGGGACAATACTCTAACCAACTGAGCCACCCAGCCAGGGCATTTTCCCCCCACTGTGGCTCATTTTGGCTTCACTGGTATGGTTGGGGAAACCCAGGGCAAGAACTTACCAGAGGCTCTACCTTTTGCACAATTATAATCCATGAGAGAAAAATGTCACCAGTCTACTTAATCTGGCAGAAATATAATTTAGATTTCCCCTTCCTGCTAATCTATCCAAAACCAGATGATCCTGCTCTTACCCTCAAGATTGTAGATTAATAGGGATCAGCAAACTCCTGTAAAGGGCCAGAGTAAATGTTTTAGGCTTTGCAGGCCATGTATGGTGCCTGCCATACAGTATCTGTTTTTTTTTTGCTGTTTATAACCCTTTAAAAATGTGAAAAACATTCTCAGTTCATAGGCTGTGCAAAAACAGGCCTGGATTTGGCCTGTGGGTCAGTCTACTGACCCCTACTCTGAAGTATAGCACCAGCCATTCACCAACCTCCCCACCAATGCCCCAGAAAGGCTTACAGGTATTTTTTACTTGTGGCTGACAGTTCTTGGTCATTCCTCTCCAATCCCGTCTGCCAAGAAGCTGCAAAAATCCTTTCTACTGCTGACAAGTTTGATTACACCATCAAGAGTGCCCACCCATGGATACCGCTAGAACTGTGTCCAATTCTGCCTTCCTAGTTGAGCTACACCTGACCAGTGTCTGGCCCCATTAGAGAATGACTAAAGTGGGCGATGAAGGATGGCTTCGACTCTGTCTCATGTTTTACTCTGACTTACAGGATGCAAGTGGGTGAGTATGGCTTTCTGCTGTCTCGCCTGAAGTTTGGGGTCTCAGTAGCCCGCATAAAGTGGAATAACCACCAGATCAGATCAGAGAGGCCCTGAACTATGGGTTGGCTGCTCCTTCTTTTTAAATCAACTCTGCTGAGGTATAATTTACAAATTTTAAATGTATAGTTTGATAAGTTTTGACAAATTTATTTCCTGAGTACTCAATACTCCAAATAAGGTAGAGAACATTTCTATCCCTAGAAAGTTCCTTCATGCGCCTTTGTAGTTAATCTCCCTCCTATCTCAACAATACAGGTTTCTTTTTATTACCAAGTAATATTCCATGGTATAAATATACAACTTTGCTGACCTATTCTCCTGTTACTGAATACAAGGCCTATTTCTGGGCTATTATAAATAAAACAGGCTATGAACATTCCTATACAAGTCTTTTTTTAAAACTTGTTTTCATTTCTCTTAGGTGAATTCCTAAAAGTGAAGTTATTGGGTCAAAAGATACGTATGTGGAACTGCCAGAATGATTCCCAGCACAGTCATACCATTCTATAGCACATGGGCAGTGTGTTAGTTTTAGCTGCTCTACATCTCTGCCAACATTTGGTACTGTTGGTCTTATAAACTGGGGTCCTGCTGATGTTTAATTTGCATTTCCCTGACAACCAATGATACTGTACATATTTTCATGTGCTTATTGTAAATTTTCTTTTGAGAGGTGTCTGTTTCTTTTGCCACATTTTAAATATTTCCATAATGACTTGTTTCTGTTCTAAATACAAATCCTTTACTAGACATTTGTATTACAAATATTTTCTCCCATTCTATGGCTTGCCTTTTGCTTTTTTTTAAAAGATTTTATTTATTTATTTTTTAGAGAGGGAAGGGAGGGAGACAGAGAGAGAGAAACATCAATGTGCGGTTGCTGGGGGTCATGGCCTGCAACCCAGGCATGTACCCTGACTGGGAATCAAACCTGCAACACTTTGGTTCGCAGCCCACGTTCAATCCACTGAGCTATGCCAGCCAGGGCTGCTCTTCTTAATGATGTATCTTTTTCTAGGGTTTGACTTAAGTCCTATTTTATCCATAATTTTATCTTTTACGGTCAGTATATATTTTAGTTTTGAGGAACTTTGGTGAAATTCACATGACCTAAAATCAACCATTAACTATTTTAAAGTATACAATTCAGTAGTACTTCGTTTATTCGCTATATTGTGCAATCATCACCTCTACTTCCAAGACTTTTCAATACCTAAAAGAAAACCCCAAGTCCTTTTAGCAACCAGTCCCATTTATCCCACCCAACATCTGGCAACCACTTACGTTCTGTCTACAGATTTATTTATGTTGGCTCTTTCATATACTGTATGGAACCATACAATATGTGATCTTTCATATCTGGCTTCCTTCATTTAACAGTATTTTGAGGTTCATTTACATTGTGCAATGTATCAGTACTACATTCTGTTTTATGGCTGAATAATATTCCTCTGTATGGACATACCACATTTTATTTATCATTGGTTGATGGATACTTAGACTGTTTCCACTTTTAGCCATCATGAACAGTATTGCTATGAACACTGATGTACAAGTATTTGTTTTCAGATCTTTGGGATATGCACCCAGGAGTGGAAGTCTTAGGTCATATGGTAACTCTATGGTTAACTTTTGAGGAATTGTTTTCCATAGTGGCTACCATTTTACATTTCCACTAGCAACACATGAGGGTTTCAATTTCTCCACATTCTCAACATGTTATTTTCCTTTTTTAAAAAAAAAGTACAGCTAGCCTAGTGGGTGTGAAATAGTATCTCATTGTAGTTTTGATTTATATTTCCCTAGTGACTAATGACAGTATCTTTCATGACCATTTTGTGGGCCATTTGTGTATCACCTTTAGAGAAATGTCTATTCATATCCTTTGTCCACTTAAACACTGGGTTGTCTTCATCCTAATTAAGATGCCAAAGGTTAAAGAGAGAATCTTATAAGCAGCAAGAGAGAAGCAGAGAGTTAGCTACAAAGGAGTTCCCATAAGACGGTCAGCTGATTTCTCAAAAGAAACATCAAAGGCAAGAAAGGGACAGAAAAAATATAAAGTGATAAAAAGCAAGGACCTACACCCAAGATTACTCTATCCAGCAAAGCTATCATTCAGAATGGAAGGGCAGATAAAGTGTTTCCCAGACAAGTAAACTAAAGGAGGAGTTCATCATCACCAAGCCATTGTTACATGAAATGTTAAAGGGACTTATTAAAAAAGATCAAAACTATGAACATTAAAATGACAACAAACTCACAACTATAAACTGAATCTAAAAATAAAATCAAAATCAAACTAAGCAAACCACCAGAACAGGAACAGAATCATAGGTATGGGATCACTTGGAGGGTTATCAGATGGCAAGGGGAAGGGGAAAAAGGGAGTACACGATGCAGGGATCAAGAAGCATAATTGGGAGGAACAAAATTGATGGGGGTATTAAGAATAGTACAGGAAAGGGAGAGGCCAAAGAACTTACACACACAATCCATGGACATGAACTAAGCGGGGTGGGTGGGGGGATGTTGGAAGGAAGGTGGGTAGCAGGCGGAGGGAGGAAAGGAAAAAAATTGGGGCAGCATAATCAATAATATATAGTTTAAAAGAACTGGGTTGCCTTTGCCCTGGCCGGGTTGCTCAGTTGGTTGGAGCATCATCCCATGCACCAAAAGGTTGCAGGTTTGACCCGTTCAGAACACATACCTAGGTTGCAGGTTCGATCCCCAGTTAGGGGACATACAGGAGGCAACTGATAGATGTTTCTCTCTCTCTAAAATCAATAAACATATCCTCAGGTGAAGATTTAAAGGAAAATTGGGTGACTTTTTAAAATCATTTAGATGTTAAGATTTCTTTATATATCTAAAGTCCCTTAAACACAGATGTGATTTACAAATATTTTCTCCAATTCTGTGGGTTGTCTTTTCACTTTCTTGATGGGTCCTTTGAAGCACACAAGTTTTGACTTTTGATAAAGTCCAGTTTATTTTTTTCTTTGGTTGCTTGTGCTTTTTGTGACATATCTAAGAAAGCAATGCTTAATTCAAGTTCATGAAGACTTACACCAATGTTTTCTTCTAAGAGTTCTATAGTTTTAGCTCACTCATTTAGGCCTCTGATCCATCTGAAGGTAATTTTTGTACATAGTATGAAGCAGGGGTCCAAGTTCATTCTTTCAAAACTGGATATCCAATTGTCCCAGCACCATTTGTCGAAAAATCTATTCCTCCTCCACTGAATGGTCTAGGTACCCTTGTTGAAAAACAATCGTCTATGAGTATTTATTTCTGAGCTCGCAATTGTCACACTAATCTATCTGTATGTCTATCCCTGTGCCAGTACCACAAGGTTGTTTCTTCCTTCTGGTCTACTCCATTGATTTGAGTCCCAGTTTTCTTCCCATCACTGTTGGTTCCCTGTGCATATTCCTTCATTTCACTTAGCATAGCCTTCATTTTTTCATCTAATTTGCGACCAAAATCAACCCATTCTGTGAGCATCCTGATCACCAGTGTTTTGAACTGTGTATCTGATAGGTTGGCTATCTCTCGGTCGCTTAAAAG